AGCCAGAGTTACCAACAGCGGCATGCAGAAGCTGGGTGCAGAGGCTCCCTGTCCAAGGCATTCTCACAGTCAGTGCACTCGCTCTGCCACTCTGGATTCACCACAAACCAGGCATTTCAGGGGATACCACCTGCTGGAAGCAGGACATCCAGGAGGTCAGGGGACCGGTGTACAGGTGAAGGCTTTCAGACTGACAATGAGGAGAGCAAAAAATCCGATGATGAAAATGCGTCCTGCACATCCCATTTCCCCAGCAGGACCTGGGCTGAGGAGGAGGAGGAAGGGTGCTTGCGTGAAGGGACTGCACATCTGGATGAAGATGTCATAATAACAATGCTGGGTGACCTAGAACAGGTCCTTTATACTGATATTTTAGGTAAGTTAACTTTGGCTTGTCATCAGGAAGGGCAAGAGGAGACCCAAGTGTTAGCACATATCCGCACAGAGCAGATTTTTGATCTTGACAGTGATTTCCCAAGACAGAACTGGGTTTATTTGCAGTAGTATGCAAAAATAGAGTCTAGCCATTTCTTCTTTGTTTCCTTACTGTGACATCTTAAGACTGTGTGAAATGAAGACAAATGTCTAAATTGCTTGTGATGGGTGCAGGGGCAGCAGCAGCCTGTGAATAACTGAACATAGCTTAGCTTTTTGAAAAATAAGGTGAAATATTTAAGTGCTATTCGTTTATTGTTAAATAAATCTATTTTAATGATATTTTTCTCATTAATTTGAAATTGATATCTTGAATCCAAGTTTTGGGTGGGACGAAGCACATCCCAGCCTTCCTACAAAGTGACCCTCCAGTATTTCTTCCCCCTTCTCTAGCCCCCCTGCAGATAATTGCACCCCTACATGTGGAATTGTGAGTGCCAGGGTTTCAGTGTAGCTCAAATAGCCACTTTTGTTATATCTCTGCACGCCAGTGAGTATTTGAAGTCCACAGCCATAGGTGCTTCAAAGGCTGCTGTGTTACTTTTCATCTCTCAGCCCTTTAAGAGTGCTCAAAGTGTTCATTTCCAAAGCTTTGTTCTTCAGTCTTCAGTTAAATGGTTGAAGTAGCTGCTTGCTTTTCAAAGGTTATATGTCATGTGTCTAGCCTGAAGCTTCTTGCTGGTAGATATGTTAGCCCTGATTGTGTTTTAACATTAAGGACAAACTTTTTGCTGTGTATATAGTGTAAAAAGCTGTTACCTCAAAACAAGAAAGAAATAAGAATTCTCTTTGTGTGCATACCTTTTATTATTAGACTGTACCAGTAGGTTAAAAGGGCTTCTGCTAGAGATCAAAAGCTTGCTAGCAAAGAAGACTGAGCTCATACCTGCCTCTGCTCCTATTCAGCTGTTTGCCACTGACAAATCCCTGCTCTTTTGTAAGCCTCAGTTTCCCTGCTTGCAAAGTAAAACTGGTACTTTCCTTTCTGAATTAATATCTCATAGTGGACAGTTCTCTGGGGAAACGTTTATTATTTGTAAATCCTTTCATGCAAATCAGACAATTGATGGAATTGTTACACTCCCATTTGCTTTGGGCTGTACATGTGCAGAAGAACAGAAATTATTATGAACAGTATTATTGAATGTGAAATTATGAGGGAGCTTCAGAAATGTGAATGTAAAAGTCTGACCTGGGTATCTAGTGGTTTCTGTAAAATGTCTATTTTGATTTCCTGTGAATGTATCACACAGTGTAAGAAATCAATGTATTTTCCAGAAATTTACTGAGGGAATAATGATTCACTGTTTATAGGCAAAAAAATTGGGGACAATCTTTTGGAATTTTCATGTTTATAAATGATGAAGCTACAAATGATTGGAGGAAATGGCCTTTCTTGTGAGAGGAACAGAATTTTGACAGAAAGTTTCAGGTTACCCTAGTTCTAGTCTTATCCCAGTTTCCCCATGTGTGAAACAGAATTGATTTTTTTCTCAGTGTATAAACCAGAATCATTTGAGATAACAAGACTGGGAGCATTTCTGATATCTTAGGTCCTGCAAATATGGCCAGACACTATGATGACTGTGCCATATTATAAGAAACAAGGTACCCAGAGGAGTCTGGGATGCCTTTGAACCTGGTCCTGATGCAATAAGCACCAAAGTGTCTCCACTAGCAGGCACGGTGTAGCTAGTTTTCTGAAAAATTAACATCTTCATCATCCCTATGGTCCTCTTTACAGAAGGAGGCTTATGTGGGTGGGGACTCAGTGCTATCATGAAAACAGAGGATCTTGTACTCAGTACAGAAAATTTCTTCACTGTCAACTGTTTATACCTTCTGACTTGTTCATCCATGGTACAGCAGGATTCCAGTGACATTTAGAGAATGATGGAAAGGAAAAAGAACTATTCCTTTCAAATCACTCTAGCAGTTAGTGGGAGATTTTTCAAAATAGTACTATGTAGTATTTTAATATAATAAAACTTCAATTTTAACTCTTTTTTTAGTTAAAACTGGTGGAAATTATCTGCTGTGTCACTGAGAGATCAAAAGAGATTAGATCTCAAGTTTTTCACCTCTGCAGGATAGAATAACCAAATTTTATGGTATAATTTGTCTGAAAGTGAAGTATTCTTTACTGTGAAAATATATTTTGGCAGCTTGCCATATATGTACCTTTTTTATTTAATGTATTGCAATTATACCTCAAGGCTTTGTTATGCTGTTTACTGTGCAATACATATTAAAAAAGACAGCTGCTGTCATTTTTGCTGCAAGAATTTGCAATGTTAACATACAGCAAAGGACAACTGACAAGGATAAACAAGGAAGGAAAAGGGCAACGTCACTCTAAAATATGAATTGTATTCAGTTCCTCGAAAAAATATTAAGTATTGCTTTGCCTTTAATTCTGCCTGCATAGACCCCAGAATTTGTCTTTCTGTGTAAATAGAAGATTTTCTTATACCAACAAGCTACTCTTTCACCTCTGGTTCAAGGCAGGGCAGGTAACATTTCCTGGATCTTCCTTATATAGGTATTATGGCAGGAATATAATGTGCTCTTGAAAGCCAATATGAATGCATTTGGCAGAGCAGGGAAGGCAAAGGGCAGTGACTGAGGAACTGAGTGCACCACAGACAGCTGGCTGGAGGCAGGCATGGACAGTGTGCCTGGAAATTGTCTGGGCTTTAAAAAGCAGTCTGAGTCTAACAGGATGTAATGTCTTCAGCCTAGCCTGGCCATGAGCCCTGCTGCCTCACAGGAAGCTCCAGGGTGCTACAGAAACTTCTGCAAAGAGCTGCTGGGATCCATGAGTACACTGATTGCCAGTGCTTTAGCGAACACATGTAGCTTGAAACACAGGAAGAGTTGTAAATAATTTCAGTGACTGCAGACATTTGTCTCCTGCAAGACACTACATGTAAAAATGGACACAGGTAGTTTATTTTATGAAACTAAATATTGTGAACAGACATGGCCTTGGGGTGTGGCTTGAGAAGAGTTTGGCAGCAGTGCAGGACCTGTATCCCCACTTCATTTTTCCATCCTGTCCACGTGTTGATCCCGCTGTCAGTTCCATGGTGCCAAACCAGACATTTATAGACATTAGCATCATTAAAGCACTGAAGAGTTTTTTGTGAGTGATGAAATAAGCAAACATAATTTCCCAAAGGACCATTTGTCTGCAGCAAAGAGGACAGAAGACACAACCAGGGCAAGGTAGATGGGAAAACCTCAAAATGGTATTGCTGTGAAAGCTGGTTTGGCATTAAGGCACAGCTGCAGGTTATGTTGGCTAGTTAAATGCATTGTTTGCCTGTTGAGGAGGAATCAAAGTTTATATTAAATAATTTATTTTCATTTAATGTCAGGAGTTGAGATTTTTCTTAGCAGCCTACAGAGTGTTTGGGCAATAGGACCTGACTGCAGAAGGCCTGTGAGGTATGATGTGAAATTTGTAAATGATAGAGTCAAAAAGGAATTATTTGCACTTCAAGTTCAGCATTTTACATGTAACTCTAATACATGTAAAATACATCTAACTCTAATACATAACTCTAATGGCTTCTTGCCACCTTTCTTACAAGAAACAGGTACAGGACATGATCAGAAATAGAACACTAGCCTTGAAGAAATCAGAGATTTTTGTCATAGAATTTCTTTTGAAATTCTCTTGTTGTTCAAAAGTAAAATGAATTAAACTTCCTTGATCTATGAATTTCCTAGAAAACCTGCATTCCTGGGTTTTTGTGTATGACCACTGGAGGCTTCTTTGAGGTTTATGATGTTTCTCTTTTGTAACATATCGTACATAATTTCTCTCCTTTTTTAAATTTTTTTTTAATTGTATGACGTAAACATTGTTCTGGATGTTATAGGTGAAGTTCTGAAAGCTTCATTATCTGAGATATGAGACTAGCTTTTCACAATGGATCCTGAAGGCTGTTGAAAAGTCTAATTGTATAAATGATGTGTGTGCTTAGAGTGTTCAGATTTGTATCTCAAGAAGCATATTTTATTCTATCCCATATGAAGAATAATGTCCCTCTTCAGAAAAGCATTACAGTCTAGGAAAGATGCTTTATTAAGTGCCTTACTTAAGAAGTACTTTGAAATAGCCTGTGTTAATGTTAAGTGAATGCTGAAGAGTTGTTTTAAGAGTCAACCCAGTTTTTTCTGGGATGACAGATCACAGATTTACTGTGGCTTTTTTTCCTACTGAGTTATGTAAAATGTCAAGGACTAAAAAGGGACTTTATAATGTATCAAGTGGTCTGGGGCTGCATCCTGCCTTGATTACAGAGGATAAAAATCCCAACACTGTAAATCAGAGTTTCATTAATAGATTTGGGCCTGCCTTAACAGGCAGGTGGGGTTTTTTTACATACCACATGTTATTTATGAGCATATATGTGTTTTATTAATGAAAGGATGAAGTTTTATTTTTTAAAATATTAAAAGATATTTGCAATCATATGTGTGCATTCTTGTGCACTTTATTCAACCTTATAAACTCACATGCTTAAGTCTAGGCTGGTTTTACTGTATTCTTCCAGGGGAAGACCCTGAAACAAGAAGAATGAGAACCGTCAAGAACATTGCAGACCTGAGACAGAATTTGGAAGAAACCATGTCCAGCCTTAGAGGGACCCAGATAAGCCACAGGTATACTGGTTTTGTGTAGACTACTAAAAATATGGACCATGGGAGAGTATTATTAGTTGCTGAATGAATGAGACACTTGCAAGGGAAAATTAGCTTTGATACTAAACTGTCTTAGCAACTTACATGTGACTTTAATATACTATATTGTCAAAATGTCTTATACAATCATTCATAAAGACAGTTATTGTTTCATACACATTTATTTAGAAGCTGATGAAATTTATTTTAGGTAATTTTATAAGTAGATGTTGGGGATGAGATCAACTGAAAGGAAAAATCTAAATGTAAAAAATAAATATGTCAGCAATGAGAAAAGGACACACTGGTGTAGTGTTAGTTTTGAGCTCTCCAGTGGTTTTTTCCTCTCCTTCCCTTTTCTTCCCATATGAGCTCCCTTTTAATTTTGTTACAGATAAACCACCGCCTTCTGATTGGTCCCTGGGGTCTCTGCTAATTTTGAAACATACAAAACATGTCTCACGCATTCCATGCATGTGATTATGTTTAGTCACACACTCATATAGTGGATTTTCCACCAAAATAGTTTTACCACAGCACCTTCAATGGTGCACAGATTAGTAAAACCTCTAGGGTCAGTATTCTCTTGTCCTAATCTCGGTTAAGATACCAGGTGTTTGGCATCATTCCCACAAGTAGAGGTTATAGAATCATGGAACCATTAAATTGTTTAGTTTGGAAAAGATCTATAAGATCACCAAGTCCAACCATTAGCCCAGCACTGCCAAGTCCACTAATAAACCCTGCCCCAAAGTGCTGCAGGTACAAGTCCTGTAGATAATTCCAGTAATGGTGACTCCATCTCTTTCCTGGGCAGCCTGTTCCAGTGCTTGGCAACCCTATCCATGAAGAAACTTTTCCTCATATCTACTGTAAACCTCCCCTGTTACAACTTGAGGCCATTTCCTCCTGTCCTATCACTTGTTATCTAGGGGAAGATGCCAATACCCATCTGACTGCAACCTCCTTTCAGGCAGTTACAGAGAGTGATAAGGTCTCCCCTGAGCCTCCTTTTCTCCAGGCCACTCCCTCAGCCACTCCTCATCAGACTTGTGCTCCAGACTCTTCAGCAACTCCGTTGCCCTTCTCTGGACACGTTCCAGCACCTCAATGTCTTTCTTGTACTGAAGAGCCCAGAACTGGACACAGGATTCAAGGTGTGGCCTCACCAGTGCCGAGTAGAGGGGGATAATAATTTCCCTGCTCCTGCTGGCCACACTGTTGCGATCCAGGTCAGGATACCATTGGCTTTCTTGGCCACCTGGGCACAGCTGGCTCATGTTCAGCCACTGTCACCAGCACCCCAAGCTCTTTTTTTGCTGGGCTGCTTTCTAGCCACTCTGTCCCCAGCCTGTAGCACTGCATGGGGTTTTTGGGACCCAAGAGTAGGACCTGGTTCTTGGCCTTGGTGAACCTCACACAATTGGCCTTCGCCTATTGATCCAGCCTGTCCAGACTCCTCTGCAGAGCCTTCCTGCCCTCCAGCAGATGAGCACTCTTGTTCAATTTTCTGTCTTCAGCAAAGCGACTGAGGGAGCACTCAATCCCCTCATCCAGGTCATTTGTAAAGATACTAAACAGGACTGGCCTCAGTACTGAGGGCATATACAAGCATATAAGTGCATATGGTGAAAGTACATACAGAGAATTTTTAAAAACAAATTAGTTTCCTCCAGCCTTCACTTTTCTTGATTTCTCAGGAACATAGAAAGCACAGTTCACTGACTTCTCCATTCTGTTTGGCAGCACACTGGAGACAACTTTTGACAGCACTGTGACAACTGAGGTGAATGGGAGAAGCATACCAAGCCTATCCAGCCGATCAAGCGCTGTGACTTGGAGGCTGGGGCAGGCCAGCCCTCGGCTGCAGGCGGGAGATGCTCCATCCTTGGGTGCTGGTTATCCTCGCAGCAGCGCCAGCCGCTTCATCCACACAGACCCCTCTCGGTTCATGTACACCACCCCGCTCCGCCGAGCCGCTGTCTCTCGCCTTGGAAACATCTCTCAGATTGACATGAGTGAGAAGGGAACTGCTGATTTGGACATATCCTCTGAAGCTGATGTTGGTGGCTACATGAGTGATGGAGACATTCTTGGGAAAAGCCTGAGGACTGATGACATCAACAGTGGGTAAGCGGCACTTTTTCCCCATATGAACTAATGCATGATTGGTAGGAGTAGAATGATTTTTCTAAAAATTTTGGCACACAAGCAGAACTTGCATTATAGTTGGAAAATTTAAATAGACATATAAAAAAAATAAACCTCTAATCTGCCAGTGATACTCTCAGCTGCCTTCAAATTCTGTTCTTCTCCTTTAACATCAAAATTACTTTGCTGTGAACTTTGAATTTCAATATTACTTACTGGAAAATTCTGGTTGTCCTGTGAGCCATCAGTTTGCATTGCTTTCCCTGGGGTAAGTCTTCTTTTGGTATTTTTATGTTTTGTTTGAGATGGTATGTATGACATTGGATGCAGCTGGTGAAAAGCAGTTGTTGACAGCACTGACTTTCTGTTTCCCCTTCAGATATTGTCTAGCATAGTCATTGTAATGGGCCTTTATTGAAGGTTTTCAGCTGTGCATATCATTTGAGCAACAGCAGTATCTTTTCATTAAAGACTAGACCAGTTACTCTTTTAGTGTATCCAGGAGGAAGAATCACAATTTTTATATTTGTTTGCTCAATCAATTGGGGTACTGCAGTTTGAGGTGCTGCATTTCCTGTGTTTCAAATTCAACAATTCTTATATCAATCTAGGAACACAAGTCACTTCAGTCCTGTGTGTGTTAGACCTCCTAGAACATCATTAAAAAAGAACAGCCATGTTACAGTTTTACTCATACTTAAATTACTATTCACTGCTGCTTTTGGCACCTCAAGGCTGCTTGTTGACTGATGTAACACTATGTTAAATAGAAGTTCCATGGAGTACCTGGTCATGTCACACCACACTGCTTCACTCTATAATTTTAGAATTCTTGCTGTCAATCTAATCTCTTAGTTTGAAGCATGATTAGAGATCACTATGATTAGAGAATAGTGGGGGATGAAATTGAGTATGATACATTCCTAAAGGGAAATCTAAGTCTGTGATTAAAGCTCTCTCTGGAGTAGTGTCTCATCTCAAGCACCATCCAAAGATAGATCTCTAGAAAAAGCATCATTTTAAAGAAAGCAATTCCTGTATCTCCCTGGTCTACTTTTTCAGTGATCTGTGTATACAGCGCTGCTGACAACATTGTCCACAACACATCATTAATGACTGTCAAGTAGGATACCATATTTATATGTGCTAGAAAATAGAAAATACATATGGAAAATATGATACTTTAATGTCTGAGGACCTCTTATCATAAAGGAAATATTAATGCTGGCTTCGACAGATGCATGGTTTTATTCAAAATTTCAAAAAAGGGAATCCTTTGCAGTGCCTCATGAGTTGTATTAATTAGCTTATCACATTAAAGGGTGAATATAGTCATCTTATGTGACTTTTCTTTGCATCTGTAATAAGGATAACTCAATAGATAGTAAGTTGCTCTGTGCTCAGTTAACATTTTTAGGTGCAGTAAATGTTAAAAACAAGTTGATAAGCTCTGAAATTTCAGGATTCACTGAGGCATGTAAAGTCTTATCTCCTCTATGCCTCTTCCATTATCAGTTTAATTACTTTAAACACTTGGGGAAAAGAATGCAGCAGTAATTAGAAATTAGTGCGAGGAAGGCCTGTTGCACTTGTCAAGTCTATCCTTACTTATACAGGGAAAAAAATGCATTTAGTCTGGATTGCATTCAAGCCACAGCTAAATTTAATATGCAGTTCTAGAGTTGTGGAATCTACTGGATAATTCACAGCTAGCTAAATAATCTGTCAAAAAAGTCTGAATTTTGTCTTTAATAAAAGATGAATATAATATGTAAATGTGACTGTTAATTGACCTTTGCAAACAAATGTGATGTTACCTTTTCTAAACTCCAGATATCAAGGCTTCAGAAACACACTGCCAAACTACTGGCCAAATCTCACCCATGCTTTAAACACCTCAGAGTTTTGTTGAAAATAATCAAAGGAACCCTTTGTGTTTTAATGCACTTGAGGCTGCCTTCACCCATACTGCCACCCAGGACATGCTGCCTTCTCACACTGGAGCGACCACACAGGGCTCCACTGCTGCAGCTTTGCTCTCAAGGCCTGCACCTGTTCAGCCACCCCCAACCACGGGGATGGAGGCAAAGGCAGGTGCTCCCAGGCTGCGGAATTGGCCCTCAGGTCTCTGTCACAGATGACTTCAACTCTGCTCCCAGAAGGAACCACAGGGGGAGGGCCAACAGAACAGCTGGACTAGCAGCAGTGTGTGTGTGTGCCTTGGTTTGTGCCTGGGATTCTGTGTATTTGCTAAAGTTAAATGTTTGTGTGCTTGCATACATGCTTAGAGTGAAAGGTGCATTTGTGTGGCACCATTTCATGGCTCAAGGAGAGCTTGTGTTAAAGATTGAATCAGGAGTAACTCTGGGAGATCATTTTAGCCATACACTTAACATTGGGACTACGCCTATTTCAGTAAGTCTGTACTTTATTTTGAGTAGGTTCAGTGAGGTACAGAATTTTTTTTCTGAATATTTGTGCTTCCATGTTCAGTGCCATACATGTGCATGGTCCTTCAAAAATAAATTTATGCTAACTTTGTTGGTAAATTAAAGTTATCAGAATATACAAAAGGGAAACAGAAAGAACAAGAGCCTAAGAGGGAGGACAGTTTAACAAAAGGTCCTTTGGGAATGTAATGGAGAGGTCCTGTGGGTAAGACAAGCTGATGATGCTGCTCCATTATAAGGGCCAAGACATCTCAGAGAGACAACCAAGCTGTAGGTAGACATTCCAGAAATTATTGCTGGTACTTTTAATTCATAATCTTTTAATGGTTCTCTAGTGAGTAAACAGCACTATACTCACTGTTTCATTCATTAGACATGCATTATAATGTGGGGAGAATCAAGTAAAAGAAGCACACAATACAAATATTCTTAAATATCGTAGTAAGGTCTTCAGTGAATATCTCTTTCATGTCCAAATAATTGCATCCCAACAGGAACTATGAATTTGGGTTCCTAATCTCTGTTCCCATTTGGATAAATGCAACTAATTTTTTTTTTTAAGCTGAAGTGATTTTTCTTGCACCTGGTGCTATTTTTTGGCAAAACCACAGTATTTAAAATGTGCTTTTGAACATACTTGAGAGCTTCAGTCTAAAAATATTTCAGTAAAAGAGGTTGGCCTGTAAGCCATGACAGAAAAAGGCAAATGATCCCAGAACACAGGCAGATACCCAATCTCCCTATGCCAGGCACATAAAGTGGGAATATTTGGTATAAGTCTACCATCTAATAAGACAATCTGTACCTTAAACATTTGAATTTCACAGACCATTAACTTTAAAGTGAAACATGTTGCCAGATGGCCGCATTTCCCACCAATTGACCACAAATTTATTTTCAGGTACATGACAGATGGAGGACTCAACCTATATACAAGAAGTCTGAACCGAATACCAGACCTTGCTGCCTCTCGAGACGTCATCCAGAGAGGGGTTCATGACGTGACTGTGGATGCTGACAGGTAACAGTGCTTTGCTAAGTAAAAACCTGTCTGAGCTCTATAAATATTTTGCATCCTTTGTACTTGCTAAAATATCATATAAGGAATAGGAAGCAAGCTTCTGAGGCTGTGAGTTTTCTAAGCACCCAAAATAGCAAATACCAGAATGAGTGGGGGAAAAAAACAAATTTCTCACATGGGAACATGACTCAGGAAGAATTTTTTGTTGTAGATGTAAGAGAAAATATTCAGAAGCCCATACCTTATTTGCAATCTTAAACTTCTGAAATGGGACATGATTTTTACAGGTTGCCTGATCAGTTGATAAGCAAAGGGAAAATTCACATGGTCTCTAGACAGCAGACAGTTTGTGTGCCTGGTGACATGGTTCAGAACATACATTTGTATTTGGCTGGTGCTAGAATAATGATCTTGTCTGCCTTGTTTTGCCCCTTGCAAGTATCAGAAGAAGGCAGTACCGGCAAGAAGTGAGAATTGGGGTTCTATCCCATTGTTTGTACAGTGTGAAAAAACAAACAACTCCATCCTGCCCTTATATATGGGTGTCAGCATAAAAAACATGCTCCCACTACTATGTCTGGTCCTGTTCCTTAAGCTTAAAGTAGATTCATATTGGTGGCTTGTATCCATATATGAGAAATAAAAATTCATAACCCAGCTTTTGCAGAACTTGGAGCTGTCAGCTCTGAGGTTTTGGTCAGACCATCTTAGAGATAAGAAACAGCTGTGAAATTTGGCAATCTAAAATGTTATGGGGTCTATTTGAATGTCCTTGTTTTAAAATAAAGTTTCTTTTAGGAAAAAAAAAAAGTATTCAATCACAAAGGGGGCAAAGGGGGAAAAGGTTCATGGAGTGGTTCTGGTTTTATAAACCTGGCATACTAGGTTGAAGAAGTTCTAGGATATTTACCTAGGTATGATATAAGTTTTAATTTTCACGTTTTCTGATGAAAATATGCCTGTGACATAAGTCAGGAATAGTCTGAATTGGTCAAACAGTGTGAGCAATGCATCAGGATCAAGGCCATAATTTTCATCTAGGAAACCAGTTACTAAAAATAGGAGGTTGCTTTAGCTGACATCAGAGCATTTGTTGAACTTGCAGAAAAACCCTATTTTAGATAGAAATCCATATGAGCACAGATAGGTTCTTTGGAATGCAAGCATTGACATGATGCAAAGACCAGAGAAAGTGTGCAGTAGGTGTGTAAGAAAATAATTTGGATAGAACTCATGCAGTAACAGAAGGAAGAAATGAGATGTGGGCAGGAGGGACTTTTGTGGAGCTCTGTATGTGAGAACAGGAACCTTATGCTCAAAGTGAGAGAGAGGGTGGAAAATTTAGAGGCTGGCAGTCATGTAATTAGAGAATGTCACCAGTGCCCACGTTTTTGTATGTCTCTCATTTTTGCCTGGGGAGGGAAGTTATTAGAGCTCTTCCCACCATGCAATATTCACACCCAGGTTTCAAACCACGCAGATTTCCCCTGGGGAAAAAACAAAGGTCCAAAATAAGGGATTTTTTACTTTTTCTTAGTATTCCTCAAGTTCTAAATGCCACTCAAACACTGGATGCTCATTTGTCTTAATGTAGGTATTTGTTGTTCTGTGCAGTGTGCAGGTTCATACATATTTTGCCAAGTCTATAAGCTACAAATGTAAAGTGTTACTTCAAGTAATGACTGCTTTCCCTTACACAAAGAAAGAAAACTCGATTCCTATGTTCTTCCCGACCCTCTAAATGAGGCTTCATGGAACATACTATGTTAATATTTAATTAAAAGGTTTGTCATAATGCACAAGCATAAGGTATTTAAGTTATGGCTATTCAGACAAATTCTGGCATTCCCTGACCTTTCAATACATTACTTTTACAAACTTAATCATTCTTCATGGACATAGGAGGGAGGTTTTTTGCATATAAGTGCATGCTATTCCTTGAAAAAGCAAAAGTTGTTTAGGAAATGTAAAATGTAAATAATTTTATGAGTTCTGATGATAATAAAACACATGCTTACCAAAACTGGTTGCAAAAAAACCTGTGGTGGGTAGAAAAAAATTGTTTATGAGGATCTTCAAGAATGTGTTCTGCATTTATGATGTGAAATCAGGGGAAAAAAGCAATAGAGATTGCTGAGACTTCAGCAGAGTAAGCTTCATTCCTTCACAACAGTGTAAGTACCTAAGATTTCATCTGATCTCGCATAGCCTTTTACATCATTTTTTGTCTACTCTGAACAAAAAATGATAGGCTTCAAGGTATGCCTTGCCACTGGGATGATGAACTTCTGTGAAAGAGGATTATTTTCCTCACTGTCATCCCAGTAGATATGTGAAGGACACATGCATTTTCTCTGTGGTATCATTAATATAAGCCTTTTTCATAATTGGCAAGATCTGCCCTTGCCTTTCTGTTGTAAAGGACTCCGCTGGCATCTTTTTTTTGGGCAGAAAATAAATTATATGCTGCAAATATCTGATTTACATTAGCAAGCAGGAGAGAAGTTTTGGTATTTTGCCCATTACTAGAGGCAGCAACTTTTGCTGACAGCAATCCCATGTTCATGAAAACTCAACCATGTTCATGAAAACAGGTTTTTTTGACAACTTAAGTTATATCTTCTGCTTATATTTTAAAACTTTTTCTCTTTGTGACCTGGCAGTACAATATTCTTTAGAGATGTGGACTGATATCTTTGAGGGTAATGCCATTTCTGGTAAATTTATAAGTTCAGACTGATTCTCATTTCCTGGATCGTGTAAAAAGACAGGAAGGTCCCCAGTGTGATGACACTAAATTGTTACAGAGAAAACCTGTATCTCCACATCTTTCCAAAAAGCAAAGGATTGAAGGATCTCCATGTTGGAAACCTAGCCTGAGAGAGCTCATCCCCATTGAATTGCTCTTTGAACTTCATAAAAGTAAAATTCACCAAGTCAACATAAGCCAAGGCTTAATGTTGCTTGCATAAAGCACATTGTTGCAGAAAGTAGTACAGCCAAATTGCTTATTCTGGTGAAGGGATTGTAAAGGCTGAAAGGACACTGGCAGCATCAGATATCAACAGTTGTTTCATTAAGTGGTGGCCTTTTTTGTTTGTTTGTTTGTGGGTGTTTTGTTTGGTTGGTTTTGGTTTTGGGGTTTTTTTTTTAATTGGATACTTTTTTAACTGGACTTTTTTGGTTTTGGTTTGTTTTTGTTTTTTTTTTTTAATAAATGCCGATTCCTTCCAATTTACCTTGTTTCAGTCACCATAAGAAATTAATCAGAGAGGAAGATGGATTTTCTTTATCGGGTATAACATGGGATATAGCTAAGAAAGTTCTCAGTGGTATTGTATTACATTTCATTTATTCTCCTGTCTACTTCCTCTACGGTCTAGCATTTGCCTTCTGGGACTTGTAGAGGGAGTATTTGAGGGAAATTCTTGGATTTCAAAGCCTTTTTCAAAGTAAGATGAGCCAAGAGAGATTAGATATAGGCACAGAGAATGAATTATGTTCTTCGGAAGAATAAGCTTTGTTGCAATGTAGGTTGTAATGTTTCCAAACCACCCTGTGATATTCATGAAAACTGTTAAGAAAGTTTAAAAGTAAGCCCTGTTAAAAGGGGATATAGCTCCACTGAGTTCAAACATTGTCCTTCCACTCCCTATACATGCAGAACTTAGTGCAGTGTGTCATAAGCCACAACTTTCTTCACCTTCATGAGATCAACATAGGTTGTACAATCACTTTCCACTCACATCCCTTGAATACAGTATTCTTTCTCTTTCACCTTTTTTTTGGATGAAACCCAAAGCTTTAAAGTTTATGCTACTTAGTGTGCTTCTATCATGACCCACTTCAGCTACTTTGCTGTTGCATTGAATCTGAACCCCCATAATACAGAGTTCTTATGCATAAGGAATGTCCCAAATGCTTCCACCATCTGCCACATGTGCAGAAGATTTGGCACTTGTCTCAGACTAGCTCAGGCTGGCCTGGTTGTTCTCAGCCAAACCATAATCAACATAATACATTATTAATTATGATAAAATAATCCAGATTTTGCCTGCAGTTTATTAGCTAACTTCCTGTGTGAATGAATTTAAGTCTTCTTCTGGCATTTGTCTGAGTAGATGAGCCTTGAATTGGAATACTGTGCATTTGAAAAAGGAACTTCTCTAGAATTTAACAGGCATTGAACTGGGAGCTCTGTTTCATAGGGTTGGTTGTATCAGAAAAGGCCGAGACATCACAAACAGTAACTTGAAATCCGGACAGAATACAATGCCTGTTCTCATACTATACAGTTCTAGAAGCACATAGAAGTTTCTGCTGTCATTTGGAATTTACCCATTGGGATGTTGCTAAATGGAGGGGCATACTTTACTTTTTGCCTTTCTATACAGCTGAATCTGTGTGATGTTTGTTTCATCACTGTACTAATACTGTGTTTTCTCCTGTGTGTCTCTGCAGTTGGGTATTGATGTGACCATTTTTCTGCCAAATTACAACTATTACCTGTTCAGTTTGCTGCTTCTGGTTGCAGAGCAGGATTTACTATGGGTAAAGGAAATGTATATGCTGCAGTATTGAGCTATGCACTGTGTGCACACATTCAGCTATCTACCCTTTCCTTTGTCAACATTCCAGGTCTCTCCAACACTGGGTACCTGTTTCTATGGCAATAAATACAAATATCGTCCCACAGATATGAAATAATAAATAATAAAACGCAGAAACAGACATGCCTTCTTCTTGCTGTCTGAGGCTTTCTTGGGCAAAACTGAGTTTTGCTGTAAAACTTCACTGTGTAGGGTGGCTTCCAATATCTTTGCATCTGCCTTCACCACTCAGTATGCCTGTGACTTACTCTGTTCACAGTCTAAAAAAGTCATTGTAGGTCTTAAAGCCAGCACGGTTCATATAGTTCTGTGATCTGCTATCATTTTCTTGGTTGTGATTTTATAGTATTAGTAAGTTCTTATGATGTTAGAAAAATTTAAGTATCTATA